CTAACTGAGACATTCCTTCAGCCAGTATTTTCTTTATGTTTGTTTTATAATTTCCTCTCTGTCTAATACATTTCTTGCATGGTTTTGGTTTGGGGAAGACAAAGCTCAGTGGTGGCATCTTGGACTTGGCATAGAGTTGAGGAGGTTGTGTTTAGTGTTGAAACTTAGGAGTCTTAGATTGTGTCAACAAACGAGGAAAAATCCCTCTTTGCCTACATGCGACCAGTTCTCTAAGCAAACCAGGTCCCAGCTGATTGATGAGAGACACGATGGGATTGAGGATGTGTGAACCAAGTTTGTTCACACTGTGTCAGACCTCAAGGGAAAGCTGCTCAAACCAGTCCAGAACTCCTTAGGAGAGACCCTGGATCAATATCAATCGAAGACTGCTATAATCACCACTTCTCAAGAGAGAAAAGTAATAAAATACACCCTTTAAAACAAGAATGATTTTTTATTATAAACTATTGTAGAAAACTTCTCTAATTAAATCTGCAAGACTAGAGGGAAATCACAGGAAGACCCATGGTCTGTTAGGACTTGCTTTATCTTAACAAGCTCCATGGTGGCTTTGGTGCTGAGCCTTTGAACCTCCTGAGGGGAGATTGCACAAGCTTTTCCATGACAAAATCAGAAGAAAACCCCAAAATATCTCAAAGCATTAATGCATCCCTCTGAGGGCCGTTCCCAATACAGGCTCCCCATGGAGTCACTGGAGGAGGTAATTGGAGGCTGTGATTGCACAAAGCCCCTGAAGCCTAGGTGCCAAAGGGAAAACCAAAGTACAATAGAAAATCTGAAGTATCTTGAAGCATTAATGAACCCTATTGAGTGCTGTTATTGACAAAGAATCTCAAGGGAGTCCTTAGAGCAGATAATTGGAGGCTGTGATTGAACAAACTTCTCAGTGTCAAAGGGAAAGGCAAAGTACCTTAATAAACCTTGAGTCCCTTGAAGAATTAATGAGCTCCACTGAGGGCCAGTTCTGACAAAGAATCTCAAGGGACTTGTTACAGCTGAAAATTGAAGGCCAAAATTGCACAGACTCTCAGAGACTCCAAGTCAAAATAAAAAGATCCTGCAGGTCTTTGAAGCATTAAGGAACCCCCCAGGGCCATTCCTGACAAAGCCTCTCCAGGGACTCTCCAGGAGATCCTTGGAGGCTATGAGTGCAGGGAGGCAAAGGCTCTGTGCATCAGCTCAGGTGCTGAGCAAAGTCTGGCTTGATTGGAGGCCTCAACACAACGTGTCTCCTCACAGCCCTTGGTGGCACAGACAAGGCTGTGCCCGAGGGGACAAAGACTTGGGATGCTGGAGAGACAAGGCCGAGAAGAGACCTGGGGGGGACATGGAGGGACCATTGAGGGACTTAAAGGGACATGGAGGGACTTGAGGAGACATGGAGGGACTTGAGGGGTCTTTGAAGGCCCTTTCCACTACTTTTGAGGCTCCTCAGGACCCACTCCCTGCCCTTTCCTCTCCACCAATCAGTACGCAGCCTCACTGTCATGGGATATGCCGACCGTACATGGGGATTATTTGCATAAGGGGGCATGGCTAAGAGGCTCCTCTAGTAGGTGGCCAAATATGGACTTTATTTGCATAAAGGGGTGTGACTGCTGCCTCATCCACAAGTTGGCCATATAGGGTCTTCATTTGCATAAAAGGGAGTGTGGCTCTGCATCTTCCAGGGGAAGATATATCTGTCCATTGTTTGCATGAAAGTGGGGGTGTGGTTCCTCCCACAGGTGGATGTATATGGACTTCATTTGCATGAAAAGGGGTGTGGCTCCACCCCTCTTCCAGCAGGTGCCCATATATGGCCTTTATTTGTGATGCCAATTTTTTATGCCCCAAAAGGCACGGACGGAGAAGCTGCTCAGAGACAAAGTTTTTAGCCTTTAAGCAGGAGGTATATTTATTTATTTTCGGTGCTGGGAAGCAGCCAGATCTCTCTGGACAAACCGTTTTGTTCCAGCAACTCACAGCTGGACTTTTTATGCAATTTTTACCAAGCAATTGCATCATACAATATGAATATTCATAATATTGCAACATACATTTTTAATATTCATAACAGGTGGAGTTAGGTGGAGTTAGGGGTGTGGCCTTCAATTTGGGGAGAATTTGAAGGGTCGTTCCTGTTCTTTGGCCTCATGAACTCTTGTCCTTTCTTCCATCATCTTCGTAAACTTTGTGAACTTCTCTAATCTGGCTGATTTCCTTGTGCATCTGGTAGAGATTCCTGATATCTGGCAAGGGTACCTGGGTTTCGGCTCATCTTCTTTCCCTTATCTCCTTTTGTTTTTCCTCCATATGTCTAATATTAGGTGTGTTTGCATTTTTAGTTCTTTCTGTTTTCCTGTGTATTTATGCTTCTGTTCTTTCGTGTCAGTGTGTTCTGCATACCTTGATAAATTATTGCCTCTGCTATTTCTAAGACTAGGTTCTCTGTGCTTTTGCTTAGGGCTTGCCTCCTGAATTAACTCTCTACTTTTCGTATTGCTATATTACATTTGCTCTCTAGGCCTTGCCTCGCTTCATTTGCATAAAGGGAGCATGGCTCTGCCACCAACAAACACATGTATTTGACTAAGATGGGGTGTGGCTTCACATCCAACAAGCAGCTATAAGCTTATTTGCATAAAAGGGGCATGAGTCCACATCAAACAGACATGGCTATTTGCATAGAAGTGGGCGTGGCTCCACCTCTTCCAGCAGATGCCCATATATAGCCTTTATTTGCATAAAAGGTGGGATGTAGCTCTTCCAACAGGTGGATTCATATGGACTCTATTTGCATAAATGGGGGCATGGTTCTGCCACCAACAAAGACATGGATATGAATAAAATGGGGTATGGTTTCACCTCGGACAAGAAGATATCTATTTGCATACAGGGAGTGTGGCTTCTCCCTCAGGTGGATGTATATGGAATTTATTTGCATAAAAGGGGGTGTGGCTTGAACTCCAATAAGCAGACATATGTATTTTTATTTGCATAAAAGTGGATGTGGCTCAGCACACATGAAGGGCATGCTGGTGTCCTTCATTTGCATAAGGGGGCGTGGCCGCAGCAGCACCTCCCTTCCTAGCAGGTGGTGCAGTTGCTGCTTGAAGGCATTGGTGCTCTCAGTGGGGCTGCGCCGGGTCCTCCCAGCCAGCAGGTGGCGCTCTGCAGCCTCATGCAGCTCCGCCTGGTCACGGAGCAGCACAGGGTCCCGCCCATGCTGGTTCACCAGCCCCACCAGGTACTCGCTGTAGTGCCCCCTGGCAGATGGGAGGACCTGCTGGTGAGAGAGGGACCCCCGGAGACCCCCAGGAACCCTAAAAGGCCCCTCCAGAGCCATGGAACTTCCCCCTTTGTGCCCAAGTTTGCCCAAGTTTACCCCAAACTTTCCCATTTCTGCCCAATTTTCTGCAAAATTTCCCACAAACTTCCCAATTTTTGTCCCAAATTCCCACATTTTTGCCCCGATTTCCCCCCAAATTTTTTCCGTTTCTGCCCAATTTTCCCCAAAATTTTCCATAAACTTCCCCATTTTTGCCAGTTGCCTCCCAAACTTCCCCATTTCTGCACGGCTTTCCCCAAAATATCCCAAACTTCCCCATTTTTGCCCAAACTTCCCCATTTTTACCTAAATCCCCCCAAACTTCCCCATTTTACCCCCAAATTTCCCCATTTGTGCCCCAGATTTCCCTATTTTTCCCCAATTTCCTCTCAAACTTCCCTATTTTCCCCAAAATTTCATTTCTGCCCAATTCTCCCCAACCTTCCCCATTTTCACCCCAAATTTCCTAATTTCTACCCAATTTTCCCAAAATAACCCCCAAACTTGTCCATTTTTGCCCAACTTTCACCCCAATTTCCCCAAGTTTTCCCATTTTTACCTTAATTCCCCCAAACTTCCCAATTTGATCCCCAGATTTCCCCATTTTTGCCCCAAACTTCCCTAGTTTTGCACAATTTCCCCCAAATTTCCCCCAAACTTCCCCATTTTGCCCCAAATTCTCCCATTTCTGCCTAGTTTTCCCCAAGTTTCCCTGTTTTTGCCAATTTTACCATAACTACCCTTTTTGCCCAAATTTTCCCTAAATTCCCCCCATTTCTCCCAAATTTCCCTATTTTTACCTAATCCCCTCAAGCTTCCCCATTTCATGTCTAGATTTCCCCACTTTAAATTTTGACATTTTTGCCTCAATTTTACCCAAATTTCCCCATTTTTGCCCAAATTTTACACAACTTTCCCATAAACTTCCCCATTTTTGCCCAAATTTCCCTATTTCTCCCCATACTCTCCCTTTTGCCCCAAATTTTCCCTAGACTTCTCCATTTTTGCCCAAATTTCTTTTGCCAGATTTCCTCTTTTTCTCCCCAAATGTTCCCTTTTTTGCCCAAGTTTCCCCATTTTCCCCCCAAACTTCCCTACATTTCCCTAAAATTTCCCCATTTTTGTTCCCGAACTTCCCCATTTTAGCTCTAATTTTACCCAAATTTCCCCTAAACTTCTCTAGTTTTGCCTAAATTTCCCTATTTTTTGCTACAAATTTCCTCATTTTCTCCCCAAATTTCCCCCTTTTTGCACAAGTGTCCCCATCTCCCCCCCATATTTCCCTAAATTTCCCCATTTTTGCCAAATTCCCCCCAGTTTTCCCTAAATGTCCTCCAGACTTCCCCATTTTTGCCATAATTTTCCCAGTTTTGCCCCGAATTGCCCAACACTTGCCGAATTTCCTGAAAAGTCCCCATTTTTGCTCAATTTCCTCCAAAATGTTCCCCAAACTTCCCCATTTTTGCCCCAAATGTACCCATTTTTGCCTCAAAAGGAGGGGCAGGGGGCAGAGAGACCCCCAAGGGACACACAACGATTTATAGGAAGCTCCAGTGCCCCCCAGGTGCCTTCCAGGTCCCCCCAGGCCCCCCCTGTACCAACCAAATCCCCTCCCAGTGACCCCCAAGTGCCCCACAGAGATCTCCAGACCCCCCCAAGTGACCCCAGGGACCCCTCAGACACCCTCTAAGTGACCCACCGGGACCCCCAAGTCCCCTCCCAGTGACTTCCGAGTGCCCCCAGGGACCCCCCAGGCGCCCCCTGAGCCCCCCCGCCCGGCGTGCAGAGCCCGGCATGGCCCCGGGGCCGTTTCCTTCTCACACGGTTCATCCTGGAGCACGGCCCTGAAATTCCTTCTGCTGCAGCACCGGGTACTGCCCTGAGGGTTGGGGAGGGGACCAGTGCAGTTTGAGAGGTCCCAGGTGGGTTTTGGGGGCTCCCAGGTGGATTTTGGGGGGGTCTCAGATGGGGTTTGGAGAGTCATGAGTGTGTTTTGGGGGGCCTAGAGGGAGTTTGGGGGTCCCAGGTGGGGTTTGGGGGGTTCCAGGTGAGGATTGAGGGGTCCCCAGGTGAGCACTGGGGGTCCCAGGAGAGTTTGGAGGGGGCAGGTGTGGTTTGGGGGGGGTCCAAAGTGTGTTTTTGAGGATCTCCAGTAGATTTTGAGAGATCCCAGGTTTGTTTTGGAGGATCTCAGGTCTGGTTTTGGGGGGGGTCTCAGGTGGGTTGGGGGGGTTCCAGGTGGCTTTGAGGGGTCTCAGGTGAGGACTGGGGGGTTCTCAGGTGAGTTTTGGGGCTCCCAGGTGGATTTTGGGGGGTCTCAGATGGGTTTTGGAGAGTCATGAGTATGTTTTGGAGGGCCCAGGGGAGTTTGGGGGTCCCAGGTGGGGTTTGGGGGGTTCCAGGTGAGGATTGGGGTGTCCCCTGGTGAGCACTGGGGATCCCAGGAGAGTTTGGGGGGGGCAGGTGTGGTTTGGGGGGTGTCCAAAGTGTGTTTTTGAGGGTCTCCAGTAGATTTTGAGAGATCCCAGGGAAGTCTCGGGTGAGGATTTGGGGGTCCCAGGTATATCAAGTTTGGGGGGTCCCTGCTGGAGTTTGGGGGGTCCCAGGTGGGTTTGAGCGGTCTCAGGTGAGGACTGGGGGGTTCTCAGGTGAGTTTGGGGGGTCCCAGGTGGATTTTGGGAGGTCCCAGGTGTGTTCGGGAGGTCCCAGTTGTGGTTTGGGGGGTCCTACAGGAGTTTGGTGGGGAGCCCGGTTGGTTTGGGGGCACCTGTTGGGTTTGGGGGATCCCAGGTGTGGTTTGGGGGTCCAGGTGGATTTTGGAGAGGCCCAGGTGGGGTTTGGGGGGTCCCAGTCACCTTCCAGTCCCTCCCAGTCCCACCTGGACTCACCTGTGGGGTTGGGTGGGACGTCAGGGGACGGCTCCGTTTCAAAGGAGACATTTCCCATCTGACCAAAGACCCCCAAAGTGAACCCCAGGGATTCCCACTCCCTCCCAGTCCCTTCCCACTCCCTCCCAGTCCCCCCTAGTGCCCCTCACCCCCGGCCCATGGAAGGTGGCCCCATAGCCAGCGCAGAACTGGTGCCAGCACTGGGAGCAGTGGAAATGCAAACGCCCCCCCCCGGGCCAGTGAGAACCACACCCTGCACTGGGGGCAAACTGGAGTGAGGCAGGGGGTCACTGGGGGGCTCTGAGACCCCCAAGGACCCCTGGGACCTCCCTAAACCCCCCACAACCCCCCAAATCCCCCAGGACCCCCCAAATCCTGCACTGGGGGCAATGTGGGGGGCACTGGGGGTCACTGGAGGGCTCCAAGACCCCCAAAGATGCCCCCAGGACCCCCAAACCTCCCCAGATTCCCCTCAAACCCCCTCTTATGCCCCACTCTCCTCTCAGGACTCCCCAAACCCAAATGACAATTTATGGGGCAGAGACCCCCCAAATCCCACCCTTGACCATCCAAATCCCCCCTAGGACCCCCCAAATCACCACTACCCCCAAATATGGAACTGAGACCCCCCAATTCCCCTCCAGAACTCCCAAATCTCCCTCAGAACCCACCAGATCTCCCAAATCCTCCCTCCCACCCCCCAATATGGAGCAGAGACCCCCCTCAATCTCTCTTTAGGACCCCCCAAATGTCCTCCAAGCCAGGAGCCCCTAAAATCCTCTCCAATCCCCCCAGGACTCCCCAAACCACACCAGATCCACTCCAATCCCCCCCACGGCCTTCCAGAGCCCCCCAGGATCCCCCTCACCAATTCCATGCTTCTCTACAAAAGCCCCCAGAGGCTCCTTGGGGGTCCCGGGAGCTCAACCAGGCCCCAAACTCGGCACAGAACAGCGTGGAGTGCTGCGGGTCCCACTGGGGGAAGGTTGGGAGTCACCAGGGACCCCCAGAAATGCCAAAGGATCCCCAAGTAACCCAGAGACCCCCAAGAACCCCCCAAACCCTCCCTGGGACCCCTCAAAACCCCTCCAGACCCTGCAAAGCCCCCCAAAGTCCCCCAGGGATCCCCCAGAGACTCCCTCAGAAACCCCAAGAGAACCCCCAGGGACCACCAAAACCCCAAAAGACCCTCAGGAATCCCCCAAACACCTCCAAGGGACCCCTCAACCCCACATTTACCCTCCAACCCACCCCCAAACCTTCCCCCGGCCCCCCTAACATCCCAAACTCTCTTTAGGGTTCCCCCAAAACCCCCAGAGACCCCCCAAACCCTCCCTGAGACCCCTCAAACCCCCTCCATGACCCCTCAAAGACCCCCAGGGATCCCCAAGAGACCCCAAAGACCCCCCAGGGAATCCACAAAACACTCCCAGTGACCCCTCAAAACCCTTTTTAATCCCCAAAACTCACCTCAGGATCCCCCAAACTTCCCAGGAACCCCCAGCCCCCTCACCGGGTGCTGGCACTGGGGGCAGCAGCACTGGTGGCACTGGGGACACTGGGCGGGGCCCCACTCAGCCTCGAAGATGAATCCGAAGGAGTACTTGGGGGGGTGGGGGTTGGGAGGGCTCAGAGACCCCCTGGGACTCCCCAAGAACAGCAAATTACTCCTCCAGTAACAACCAGTAACAGCAAACACCAAACCAGTAACAACCAGCAACACTAAACCCCTTCCCAGTAACTCCCAGTCACTCTTAGTAACCCTAAACTGATTCCCAATAACCCCAAAACCCCAAACCAGTAATTCCCAGAAACACCATAGCCCAAACCGGTAACTCCCAGTAACACCAACCCCAAACCTGTAACATCAAACCAGTAACTCCCAGTAACAATAAATTCCCTCCCAGTAACTCGAAACCCCAGTAACTCCCAGTTCCTCCCAGTAACCCTAAAGCACCTCCCTGTCCCTCCCACTGCCCACCAGTTCCCTCCCAGTCCCTTCCAGTAACCCTAACCCTCCCTCCCAGTTCTCCTCAATCCCCTTCCACTGCCCTCCCTGTCCCCCCAATTCCCTCCAGTTCCCTCCCCTCCCTCCCACTGCCCTCCCAGTCCCTCCTAATCCCCTCCCAGCCCTTCCCAGTCTCTCCCAGTACATGGAGGCACCACAGGATCTGAAGCAGCACCAGCTTCGTCAGTTTCTGGGTCACGGGGCTGAAGTTGTCGAGGTCCAAACAGCTCCAGAGCTGCAAACCAGTACAGACCAGTAAGGACCAGTAACCCCAAACACCCTCCCAGCAACTCCAAGCCCCAAATCAGTAACTCCCCGTGACCCCAAGCTGGATCCAATCTCAGCCATGGATTATGCCAACACTTTTAAGTTTAGAGGAGTTAGAGAGGTGTGACTTGTCCCCCAGGTTTTAATGATGGCAAATCAGATCTATTGATAGAAATGAATTATTTAGGGTTACAAATGATTAGAAAAAAGATCTTCATCAGAATAATTTACTGCACAATAGAAACACTAAAACTACCAGTGGTACAGGATAAGATAGGACAGTGCTCTCCACTAAAGCAATTGTTGAAGCATTTCGCTCGTGGGGAGATCTCTGCTCTCAACCTTGAGGCGTGACCTTGGTGGGGTCCCCAGCCAAGGCAGGAATCTCCACACACCTCCCCAGGAAGGGTTCTGTTTCAAAAACCTGCCCCTGAGAAAGAGGACTGGCTCTTTCTGGTAGAAAGGGATGGACTGACAGTCACTGGACTCCAGGGGTTGCCTCATTATCAGGGGGTTCATTCAGGGTGGAAGCAGCAGCCGAAGCTCTTCCCACAATCGGGGCACTCATATGGCTTCCCTTACCAGCGGGTCCGTTGGTGTGAGGTCAAGGTAGAGCTGTGGGCAAAGCTCTTCCCACACTACCCACACTTGTAGGGCCTCTCCCCAGTGTGGATCGCAGCTGATCTGAAACCTCTTCCCACATTCCAAGCATTTGTAGAGCTGTTCCCTGGTGTGGATGGTGTGGATGCCCTGGTGGGTATGGAGGTGGGAGCTGATCCTGAAGCTCTTCCTACATTCCCAACACATGTAGGGCCGTTGCCCAGTGTGGATGCACTGATGGGTAAGGAGGTCGGCGTTCTGCCTGAAGATCTTCCCATATTTCCCACACGTATAGGGCCATTCCCCAGTGTGGATGCACTGGTGGATGCGAAGGGTGGAGCTGTCACTGCAGCTCTTCCCACATTCCCCACACACGTAGGGCTGTTCCCCAGTGTGGATGCAGTGGTGGCTGAGGAGCTTGGAGCTCTGCCTGACGCTCTTCCCACATTCCCCACATGTGTAGGGACGTTCCCCAGTGTGGATGTGCTGGTGGGTGAGGAGGTCAGAGCTCTGCCTGAAGCTCTTCCCACATTCCAAGCACCTGAAGGGCTTCTCCCTGGTGGGAGGCTGCTCAGGGACCACCAGGTCGGAGTTCCAGCTCAAGCTCCGGCCGCCTTCCTGGCACAGGCTGGGTCCTTCAGGCTGGGTTCTTCCTCCTCAGAGCACCCTGGGCTGGCTTTGGAGCCCCTCCTCCGAGAGGATCTCTGGGCTTTTTCCTCCCAGTTTCCTTCCTGCACCGTGGAGCCCTTCAAAATGGCCTCTCCCACCAGGTTCTGCCAGGGGGATTTGTCCTCCGGGCTCTCCATCCTCAGCTCAGGGCCTGGGGCAGGAAGCAAGAAGGACAGGGAGGGGATTTGCCTCTGACCCAGAGGGAAGGTCAAGGACATCCCCCCAACTCCAGCCCCGGCAGGACGGCGGCAGCAGCGGGGTTGTCCTGCAGCAGGGGGCAATGCTTGGCTGCCAGAGGCAGCACAAGACCAGGCCTAGGGGCACTGACTTCCTCCTCACCTACCCGGGGGGCCCATGGCATCTTCCTCTTCCTTGCAGCCTCCTCCTCCATCTGCCCAAGCTTTGGGAAGGACAAATCCTGCTGGGGGAGAAAACAAGGGGTGAGGGCATTGTGGCTTGGGGGTTCCTCCTGCCCAAATCCATCTTTAGAACTCACTGAGTACCCTGTGTCCATAAAAACCTCCCAAACACCAAGATTCAGCCCAGAAAAACCAAAACCACCAAGATTCAGGCAAAAACCCCCTCAGAAATAGCAGGAAGACCCCTGCCCCCCCAAACAGCAAAAAGTTGAGATTCAGCTAAAAAATACTCCAAAATATGAAGATTAGCCAAAAAAACCTCTCCCCTCTCTGGTCTCTCCTCTCTGGGGTTCAGAGCGTCTCCCCTGTCTGGGATGCTGGGGGTCCCACTTAGGGATGCTGGGAGTGTTGGGGGTCCCAAGGGTCCCTTCTCCTCTGACTCTTGCCTTTGGGGTGCTGTGTTCCCAGGCATTCCCTCTCTCCAGGTTCTCCACTTTGTTGTCCCAGGGATCCCAGGGGTCCCCACTGTCCTATTGTGCTGCTCTGATCCAGCAGAGTAGTTTAAGAACAGGTGGTGGTAAAGTGTGGTCTGTCCCAAATGTATTAGGGCTCTTTGCCCCAAAGAAATGTCTGTGCCCTGAGAGCATTGGATTCAACAGCCCCCAGCACGCCACAGTAAGTTGGGAGCTCAGGGGGGGCCAGCCCCCTTTCCCAACCCCCCTGTGCACAAAGACCCCCATGGGACTGTCAGACCCACCAGACCACCTCCCCTTTTCCATCCTTCTCCCTGTTCCTTCCACTTTTCCATGGTCCCCTCAATTCCCAGCCCCCCCAGGATCACTTTTGGGGTCCCAACCCCCACGTTTTTTCTCCCTCTTCCACCCCTTCCACATCATTCCCCCACTCCCCAGCCCCTTCATGCTCAGTTTGGGGGTCCCACCCTCCCCTTCCCCCACTCTGCTGACCTCTCCCACCACTGTCCCATCATCCCCTAAACCTCAGTGCCCCTTCCCCCCCACTTTTGGTGGGTCCCACTCCCCTCCCACTCAGGTTGGGGCCCTACCACCCATTTTGTCCTCTCTGATCCTCCTTTTCCCACCGACCGCCCCCTTCCCACCCCCCACTCACCTGAGAACTCCTTGCCTGCAGCCGGGAGGGCTCCCAGCACCACCAGTGCCCAGAGAAGTCCCCCAGAAAAGGGGTTAGGTAGGGTTCTGGGTGGGCTTTGAGTGTGTTTGGGGGTCCTTGAGGGGCTGTGGGTTAGGGTGTCTCGCTGCCACCTCCCCAGCCCCACTGAGCCGAGAAGCACCAGGAAATCGCTCCCATTGAGTAAGAAACCTCGACACAAGTTCTTTATCTCGTGACCTTCTCAGCTTATTCCTTCCTGCTCCCAGTCCCCTTTGCTAGCCGTCTCTCTACTCCCTGTGCCCATCAGTCGCAGCTGCAGTTCTTCCCTCCATCGCAGTCTGGGGGCCCTTCTGAGGAGGTGCTCAAGGAGTCGGTGGTGGCCATCTCCTGCTGCTGCAATTCCTTTCCCCCAGTTATGGCTCAGTGTGCCTGACTTCCCTCCTGTGCCTCTGGGCCAGCCAGTTCATTCCTCCTGGCATTGTCTTCTCTTCTCCCTCAGGAATCAGCCGAGCGCCCAACGTTGCCAGGGCAATTGCTGAATCATCCCTGTCCAGTTGCAGCAACCGCTCAGCTCCAAGAGGCCCTGGGAGCGGAAGGCAGCCCCCCGTGTCCGTGCGGCTCCGCCTTCGCCGCCTCTTTGAGCCGGGAATTCCGCCGCGCTACAGCTGCGGCAGCGGCAGCGCCGGGCGAGGAAGGCGCAGAGGCCGGGCGGGGCCCCCGGTTCCCCCGGGCGGTCCTTCGGGCCTTTCCCTGCCCGGGCGGGGCGAGCGGCCCCCGCGGCCCCCGCTCCCTCGGGCCGTTCCAGCCCTCGTGGGCAGCGAGGGGCGCTGGATGGTCCCTACGAACTCCCTGCCCTCAGTCCCTCCTGGGCTGGCACATCTCCGAGCCTGTGTCACGGCACCGGCTGCTGCCAAGGGACGGCCTTGCTGCAGTTTGCACTTAAACCCAACAAATTGGGGCAGGGGAGCAGCCCTGAAAACCAGGGCTTTGCTCCCACGGCTCTGCAGGGGCTTCCCACAGTCTCGACTTCCTTTGGGCATCCCTGCTCCGGCGTGGGCTCCTCCCGGCCTGCAGGGGCATCTCTGCTCCATCCCGCACTCATCCACAGGTCACAGGCCCTTCAGCTCAGGTTCACCCAGAGCTCCAGCTGGTTCCGTGGAGCAGCGATCCCCTGACCCCCTGCCAGTGCGGACACCTCGCCAGGGCTGTTTCTCCAAACCACCAAACCACGTGTGCCAAACGCCCTGGTTGGTCAGTGCTGGCTGGGGGAGTGGGCACTCGGTAAGGTAACGAGAAAACTGCACCCAGGCTGGGCTGAAAGAGGCTTCAGCACCACTTCTGAGGCCCTGGGGGCGGCATCTGGCTTCTCCCAAACAGAGAGATGGCACTTGTTCCTCTGCAGGGAGTCAAGGGCAGGAGGGTGACTCCTGCTGCATGGATGGAATGGCAGAGGATCCCTTGGGTCCCCAGGATGGATCAGCACTTGGGGATACAAACTGCCCTGGGGCTCAGGATGCAGCTGCCAGCACAGATTTCCCTGCAAAGTCTGCAGTGAGTCAAGGTCTAGAGTCGATTGTGCCCCATGGATGGGATTGCAGAGGCTCCCTCAGGTCCCTAGCATGAATCAGCAACCAGGAATACACACAAAAGGCCCCTCGGAGATTTCTGGGTGAGTGTCCTGTAGGGAGGGGACAGTGTCACCCCACCAGGGCAGGGCTGGCAAGTGGGAGGCTGCTCCAGGTGTCTGGAAGAGGCCTCGTGCTCTGCTTGGCCCCAGCAGTGGCTGGTACCAACACCCCCGGCTGCCCCTGGCCCTGGGCAGCTCTGCTGCCACAGGCTGTGCCCTCACCGTGGCCATGCAATGGCTCTGCCTGTCCCTCACCCGTGTCTCTGCCCATGTCCCTGTCCCTTGGCTCTCTCTCTGCCAGCTGAGTGTGGGGCACATGGGCTGGGGGTCCCTCCCGCGCAGCCGGCGTGGGCTGGGGGGATGTGAGGGCTGGGCCTGCTCAGGACAGCACCATCCTTGTGGCCAGTGGCTCTTTCCTGCCCCACACAAGAGGTTCCCGTCTTCCCCAGTGCTCCCCTGCTGCTGCCTCTTCTTCTGGCTCTGCCTTTGGTGCTCCCTTGGCTGTGGGAGCAGCTGCAGGGGGGGAATGACAGGAGCTTCAGCTCCACGGCAGTTCCTGGGGGGAGCTCAGCCTGGGGGGGATGGGCAGGGACCTGATGGGGATGGACAGGGGCCCAGCAGGGACAGCCAGGGCCTGGAGAGGAAGGCACAGGGATAACCTGTCCCCCCACAGTGCCAGTGCCATCTCTGCTCCTCCTTGCAGGATAGGGAGAGTTTATGTTCCTGGGTGTCCATGATCTCAGGAGTTGGAGCTGCTCAAATCAGCGCCTGCATCTCTGCAACAAAGCCCCAGCTCACCTGGCACACAGGGGATGGAGACAGCATCTTCTCAGGGCTGGGCACTCACAGTTTCAGTTCTTCCCCACCACAGGGCTGTCCTTCCTCAGCAGCACGTCTGCCTTGCAGGGTCGCCTCAGGGCCAGCTCTGGGATCACCTCTGTGCCATTTCTCAGGGTAACCTCAGGGCCTGGTCTCAAGGACATGAACCTGCAGGGAGGGGAGATGATGTGGAAGCTGAGGGGTGCCTGCTTGGACTGTGCTGTGGGCTTCTTTCTCCTGGAACCACCCCACAACTTATCCTGCTTTCCTAACACCAAATATTTACAGACTAACCTTGTATATATATATGTACAGACATCTCTATCACCCTGTGGATAGAGCCTCAAGCATGTGCTGCCATAGGAATGTGAATCAGAGAATCACCTGGGTTGGAAAAGACCTCTGAGATCATCAAGTCCAACCCTTGATCCAACTCCGCCGTGCTTCCCAGACCATGGCACTGATGCAACATCCAGTCTGTCCTTAAACACCTCCAGGGATGGTGACTCCACCCCCTCCCTGAGCAGCCCATTCCAATGGCTGATTGTTCTCTCTTGAAAAGATTTCCAACCTAAACCTCCCCTGGCACAGCTGAAGACTGAGCCCTCTTGTCCTACTGCTGGTTCCTGGGAGCAGAACCTTACCTCCACCTGGCTACAACCTCCTGTCAGGGAGTTGTAGAGAGTGAGGAGGTCTCCCCTGAGCCTCCTCTTCTCCAGGCTCAACAACCCCAGCTCCCTCAGTCTTTCCTCATAGGACTTGTGCTCCAGTCCCTTCCCCAGCCTCGTTGCTCTTCTCTGCACCTGCTTCAGCCCCTCAATGTCCTTCCTGAACTGAGGGCCCAGAACTGGACACAGCACTCCGGGGTGGCCTCACCAGTGCTGAGGACAGGGCAAGAATCCCTTCCTTGCTCCTGCTGCCACACTGTTCCTGATCCAGGCCAGGATCCACTGGCCTTCTTGGCCACCTGGGCACACTCTGGTTCATGTTCAGCTTCCTGTCAATCCAAACTCCCAGCTCCCTTTCTGCCTGGCTGCTCTCCAGCCACTCTGTCCCCAGCCCATGGGGCTGCAGGGGGTTGTTGTGGCCTTGGCCTGCTTGAACCTCATCCTGTTGGAATCAGCCTGTAGGTCCAGCTTGGCCAGGTCCCTCTGCAGAGCCCTCCTGCCTTCCATCAGATCAACACACCCCTCAACTTGGTGTCATCTGCCAATTTTCTAATGAAATGCCTGGTTCTGCAGGAGCTGGAGATGCCCAAGGGGCAGCAGGACCAAGTCAGGGGCCTGAGGGGCCTGGGGGGCTTTGGGGTCTGGGAGGGTCCTGGGGGAGCTGGGGAGGGGCTTTGGGGATTGAGAGCACAAATCAGGACAGACCAGTACAGACCAGTAGAGACCAGTACCTCCTCACTGCTCCCTGGATCTCTCCTGGAGCTGGGCCACGTTGTCATGGGACAGCTGAGCCCCCCCCAGTGCCCTCCCAGTACAGCCCAGTGCCCCCAGTACAGCCCACTGTGTTCCTGTCCCAGGGTGCTGAGCGATCCCTCTTTGGGGTGGGGGGGGTTGGAAAGGATTTGAGGGGGGGGCTGTGGGAGATTTGCAGGGATCTAGGAGTGTTGGGTGGGGATTTGGGGGGTTTTGGAGGGGCTTTGGGTGCATTTGGGGGAGTTAAAAGGGGTCTTGGGGACATTGGGGGGTCAAAGGGATCTGTGGGGGGAGGGAATTAAAGGGAAAATGTGGGTTAGGGGACATTTGAGGGGGGTCAATGGGGCCTGGGAGGGGAGAGGAGGGGCAGCACCACGAGCAGGTGAGTCCTGAGACCCCCCTGGTGTCTCCAAGACCCTCTTGGTGTCCCCAATTCCCCCCTTGACACCCCAAGACCCCCCTGGTATCTCCAATGTCCCCAGGGCCTCTCCATGGCCCCAGTTCCCCCCTTGACACCCCCAATTCCACTGTCCCCAAACCCCATCCCTGATGTCCCCAACCCTCAATCTCACCCCAGGAGCCCTTCCTGGACCCTCTAACCAAAAACGCGTGCTCCCCCATCCCCCTGCTCACAGAAAGGCCAAGGGCATCTGGGGACATGCTGGGGACAGTTGGGGGCCTTTGCAGGGCACTGGGGGATAACTGGGGGATACTGGGACACACTGGGGGGAACCAGGGGGCACTGGGACGGACTGGGGGGTTACTGAGGGACGCTGGGCAGGCACTGGGAAGGACTGGGGAGTTCCTGGGGGATTACTGTTACACACGGGGTGACGCTGTGAGGTTACTGGGCCATACTGGGGGTTACTGGGTGCTCACTGGAGGATCTCTGGGCCATACTGAGGGGCAGTGGGAGGTCACTGGGACACACTGGGCAGTCACTGAGGGGGTTACTGGGCCGTACTGAGGGTCACTGGGAGGTCACTGGGATATACTGGGGGCACTGGGATCCCCTTACCCAGATGTAGTACATCTCCCCCCTGGACTTTGGAGGACACCTCCAGGACACATCCTTTGGGAGCTGGGAGATCCCCTGAACCCCACTGTTGGATTTAGGGGACCCCTGGGCCCCCCTCCCTGTGGGGTCTCTGTGTGCTGAGTTTTGGGGGTCTCTGGGGTTCGGCGGGGAGGGTATTAGGATCCCCTTTCCCTGGGGTTGGTTCGCCAGGCCGGCAGGGGCGCTGTGGCGGGAAGGGTAATGGCGGATTGCGCGGGGCCTCATGGGAGTTGTAGTTCCCTCATGAGTACTCTGCCCGTGCGCCTGCGCTCTGCAGCCAGGGCGTTGGGAGAGCCCCTCCCCCCGAGCGGGTTCCAAGGAACCGAATCCAACATTCAGGTTGTTGGGAGGCCCCTTGACCCCACAGCCCTCGAGAGGGCTCTGCTTCTCGGGAACCCCTGAACCCTTCTGCTGAACCCTCCCAAGCCCTCCAGCCTTTCCACCCACAGCCCTGCAGCCTCCGAGGGGATCCCCAGAGCCCCGCTCTTGCCGCAGCCACCACTAGGTCTCACAGCATAGCACAGCAGCAGTTGCCATTGCTTCCCGGCAGCTAACATGGCGCTCTGTGCGCACTCTGCCTTTACAGACCCCCAACTACAGCCAATCAGGCTGCGGTCACGCCACCTGCCTGCCCACCACGGGAGTTGTAGTCCTTGCAGCTGGTCATGGCCGCCCTTTCCACTTGAGCGGAGTGACGACAGGACGTTTTTGGTTTTTTGTCTTTCTGTCTTCCTTTTTTCCCCTCTTTTTTTCTTTGTTTTTTTCTTTCTTTTTTCTTATTTCCCCTTTTTTCTTTTTCTTTCTCTTTTTTTTTTCCTCTTCTCGGCACCAACATGGCACTCTGCGTGCGCTCCGCCTTTAGAGATCCGCGCCGTAGCCAATCAGTGCGTGGCCACGCCTCCCATCCACACACCACCACGCCTCCGCTCCGCGCGATGCAGTAAGGGAGTTGCAAGTCCTTGTGGTGGCTCATGGCGGTCCTTTGCACTTAAACAGGGTAATGATACGATGTCTTTGTTTTTTGGAGGTTTTTGTCTTTTTTTTATCTCTTTTTTCTTTCCTTTTTTCTTTCTTTTTTTTCTGTCTTCTGTCTTTTTCTCCTCTTTTTTCCTCTTTTTTTCTCCTGTTTTGTTTTTTCTTTTTTTTTTTTTTTTTTTTTCTCATTTTTTCCTATTTTTTCTTTCTTTTTTCTTGTAGGACACGTGTCTGAGGCACGGGGGACATGCCAGGGCTGAGAAGCCCCAAGGAGCATGCGTCTAAATGAATAACCCTATTGGTTAGAAGGTCACATGATATCAGGGTATAAAGGGAAGCGCCAAATTTGAAATAAAGTCTCTTTGTTACACCGCCTCACAAGGAGCGTGCTTCCTTCTTTACCATATAAAGTACCCGCCACACTACATTTTCTCTTTTTTTTGTCCTTTTTCTGTTTTTCTTCCTTTTTCCTTCCTTTTTTCTTTTATATTTTCTTTTTTCTTTTTTTCTTTTTTTTTACATTTTTTTCTATCAGTTGTATTTTCAAGGACAATTTAAACACATATCAAAACAATCTCCATGTACGTAGCTTACGACAACAGGTAATCTGGCATTCTTCCAGGTTTGTGACAATTCCCAAGATCACAAACACTGAGACACAAAGGGTGGAAGCAAAGCAACTTTATCCTTTCCCTTGCCATAGTGTTCAGTCCACACCAAGCCCTGGATTTCTAGAAAGCCACTGGGCAGAAGCAGCAGATGGAGCATGGTGCTCGGCAGGAGGGGCAGGCAGGATGTGCACCTTCAGTTAGAGACACTTAAATTATCCAGTAGATCCAATAGTTTCAGTGCTATGTGCCCATTCTTCAGGCATCCAGTGTGGTCCCGGCGTGGCCGCAGCCAAAAGTAGCTCCGTTTCCGAAAAGCACCATGAGGAAGGATGGGGGTGAAAAACCCCCGCCGGAGGTAAATGAGCACAATTAAATGCAGGAGGGACACCCCCCACCGGAGGGAGATTACCCGGAGTCAAGGTAGAAGACAGAGCCCTCGGCAGAGGTCCTAGAGCCCTGTCAGTGGGGGATATCAATAGGCTGAGCAGCAGAGCAGATAGAAATAGCAGGGAATACATCCTCCTTCTCCCCGAAGACGTTGTCCAACAAGTCTAAAAGATGCTTTTTCAAGGTGTCCAAATTGAAATAGAACATTGCCATCATTGTCCCTTTGTCCCTACATCAGGCTCTGTTACTCTCCACAGCTGCATCAAAGGAAATGTTCATTGCTCCTCCCTGTTGCTCATCCATAACCTTCTGTCCTGCTGCATTCAAGACCTGTTACAAAATCTTCCAAGAAAGTCAATGTTTTTGGGAAATTCCCTGCCCCATTGCTCCTACAGGGTTCTGCAGATTCCTGTGCCATGGGCTCCGCTGTCCCGTTCCCACAGGATGAATGCCAGCACTTACCACCTCCGTCAAGTGGTGGGTGCTGGAAGAGTGTCCTGGAGTGCAGGTCGCACGTTGGGGCCACCAAAGATGAGTGCTGAAGGAGAAAATGGGGCTGCGCACACGGTTCCACTGCGGGACTTGTCCACCCACCTTTCCGGTGTTCCCCTTTCATTGGGGTTCCTTTGGAAACAGCACCTGCTGTTTGTCTTTTAGTCCACTGGAATTCCCAGCATCACCCCAAAGCAGCGCCCTGATCCCACACATTCCCCTCGCCTCAGGTAGTGGCTGTGTTCAGCCATAAAAGAAAAACACAGGCTACCATGCAGAGCGTTCCAAGTGGTTTTCTACTTTGTGAAACAGCACTCTCTTGATGGAAAACACCAATCGAGGCCAAAACACTCCTTGTTGATCCTGATTAACTGAATGCTGCTGCTGCTGCCTTAACTTGTTCCCACAAAAATTCTCAGGGTTCCTTTGCTTCCAGGAGGTCCCAGATGTCACAATGGACCCTTGATTCCATGGAGTTCCAAAATGTCTCAGGAATCCTTTGTCCCAGGGTCCCTTGTGCTTCATAAGTATCTGCAGTGGGACAGTGGCCCCTGGGTTCCATGAACTCTGCAGTGTTCCAGGAATCCTTAGGTTCCAGGAGAGCCTGCAGTTTCACAGGGACCACTTGAATCTATGAGGTTCTGCAGGGTCACAATGGCCCCTGGATTCTATGAGGTTCAGAAATATCTCAGGGCTCCCTCGGTTCCATGAGGACACTCATGTCAGCAGGAACCCTTGGTTCCAGGAGGTTCAACAGTGTCCCAGAATTCCTTTGATTTCATGAGGCCCTAGATTGTACCAATGGACTCCTGATTCCATGTGCTCCCTCAATGTCACAATGGTCCCATGGTTCCATGAGTTCCCGCAGTGTCCCAGGGTTCCTTTTGTTCCATGGGGACCTGCAGCGTCACAATGGGCCCTGAATTTCAGCAATTTTCCCAGGCTTAGCGTGCTCCCTTGATTCCATGAGATTGCCCAGTGTCCAAGGGCTCCTTTGGCTCCAGAAGGCCCTGCAGTGTCTCAATGGTCCTTGGTTCCATGAGGTTCCACCATGTCCTTGCTGGAACATTCCTGGTTGTAATGCTGCCCCACCTGCAGAGCTCCCTCCAGCTCTGGGGTCCAGCACAGGAAGGACATGGACCTATTGGACTGAGTCCAGAGGGGACCAGCAAGATATCAGAGGGATGGAGCAGCTCTGCTGTGTGGAAAGGCTGAGAGAATTGGGATTGTTCAAACTGGAGAAGAGAAGGCTTTGGGGTGACCTAATTGTGGCCTTCCAGTGCCTGAAGGGAGCCAACAAGAAAGATGGAGGAGACTTTGGACAAGGGCCTGGAGTGACAGGACAAGGGGCAGTGGCTTCACATGGATAGAGGGAAGGGTTCGAGGAGATAGTAGGAAGGAATTCTTTACTCTGAGAGTGCTGAGATGCTCTTTAAGGCCCCTCTCAAGGCAAAGCATTCCACGATCCTGTGACTAGTGGGTGAGGTGGTGGTCGGAGCCGTCTTGGGCACAGTGACACAAAATGAGGGAATTTTCCATTCTGGGGGAAGGAAGGAAGGGGCAGCAGAACTACAGTCCGAGAGATCCATGTAATACATTCCCCCAAAGTCTCAACACTCCAATACAAAAGCATTGTTAAGTTCGCACACACATATATTGTAACACATATATATCTGCACAGTCTTTCTCACACAATCCCTCTTCAGTCATTCATTGGTGGCCACCTCAGTCACTCTTCACTCACACATAGTTGGAATTTCTATTATACTTTTACATTTTAATTACACAGTTTACATTTTAAGTAGTTATTGGCTGTGTACTTCTCAGTTTGTCATTTTTGGTAGTCACGTTTAACAACTGTACTTGGCTTGAAGAGGAATTAATACAAGGAATATAAGGCCTAACAAATTTAAATGAGATCTATTCTGATTTGGCATCTGTTTATGCACCTGCATAGTCTCTTTCCCCCCTTTTTATGTTTTAAAATGTTCATTTGATGTGTAAAATGTTTTCTTGACAATAATTTGTTCTATGAATAAGTTAGGAATTTCTGCATATTTGTATTTTGCAGTAATTTGATTTTTCTATGCAGCACAATAAAAAGGATGTCATCTGAGTTAAAAGAATGTAAGAAAGTAATGCCAGTACATTTTCAATTACTGACTGAAATGTACTTAATTTTTTTCATAACCTAAGTTTCATTGTTATAATTATTATTTGTTATTGATGCTATTTCATTTTGGGTACTAACTTCCAGTTAAGTTAAAGTTAAGAAGACAGTACTACATACAAAGAGTTCTAAAGGAGATGATCAAGGAACATCAAGAGAAATTATACAACATGCGTTATATACGCTACTTGATCTTATTTTTAGTTCCACTTGTCCTGTGGGCTTATTCGCTTAAGTGTTTAAGTCAGTTCACTGTGGAGTAGTCTCCATACTCAGGCCACGCAGCTGACTTAGTTATGCAAAAAAACCCCCACACCTTATTATTTGGCTGAACAGACTTCCTCAATGAGTTTGTTGCAGGGAGACACAAATGTAATGCCAGGAAGAGGGAAAAGGAAAGAAAGAAGGTTTAGTTTGCAATCACTGGACTACAGTAACCTGGATTAGGATTAAATTTTTTGAATTAATTATTCTTTTAGTAAGCAGACATATAGAAGGGCAAATAGGAAAAAAAATCAACAATTTAAACCTTTGAATTTAACTGCAACGAGTTAAAGAACTGTTTGAATAATAAAAATCTCAGGAGTTTTCAAACATCTGTGATTTGCACTGCTTTTCTAAAAAGCTCACTTTTTAATATTTTTTATTTTTGACAACTCCTGCCCCTACAATTTTCAGAATAAAATGGCATTTTCATTAACTGTCAGCGAAGGCAAATGTCTGTGAGTTGTTTGTTTGTTGGTTGGGGTTTTTTTGTCATGTCATTCTGTATTTTCTGCACTTGAAGCATCTAGATTATCGAAGTTAGCCTGGTCGTCACAAAGCACTTGAGTAAAGTGACAAGGTTTGAAGGTTTGAACCACTTTGTACAGCTGAGGAAGCTTTGAAGTTCCTCTGCTTGCAGTGAACTCTGTGTACCTCCAGCAAAGTTCTGTCACCCTTTGCATGATTAAAATATTTTTCCTTCATATAGCTTGTTTCCAACCAAACATTAGCTTGGCTATCATGTAAAAAGGGATATCCTTGCGCTGTAAGGTGTGGAAAATGTAATTATGGCAAAATTCCGAGATAATGAGACACAAAGGCCACTGAGAATGAAGAGAGAAAAGGAGAGAGAAAGGGACGATATAGCAGTTTATTCTTTTCTATAGTAATGATACTTGCCAAACATACCTTAATGTCTGAGATTTCTGATGTTGTTTGTTGGCTTTTTTACTATTATCAGATGAGTGAATATGACCTTTATGCAAAATAAGCCAAGATTACAATTTTTTTTTTCAAGCTAAAAATAACCTTTTAATTTTCACCTTGTGTTAAAGAAGCCTTTCTGCAGAGTTCTCTGCTGTCTTGCCATATAATTGAAGTGAGGGAATGAAAAAGTACCCAAATACGTCAATCATGCCAAAGTCAAGGAAATCAAGATTTGGCCTTCTACCTGCATTTCATAGAAAAACTGTCACAACTGTCTCCCGAATAACTTTGATAGAAGAAACAAGAAAACTGGACTTCAGTTTAGTTTGTGTTCCTCTCAGGAGATGTCTTTCCTGATACCATCTGTGCTCTTCTGCACTCACAGGGAGCACTGTGACTTTGTTTTTCATGGTGATTTGCTCACTTCTAGTCCATTATTCAACCACTTGGTATTTCTGTATAATCAGAAGTTCTACTTAGCTTTACTGAACAAGTGAGAAACAGAATTGGCACACAAACTCTCAGTAGTC